TTACTCTTATTGTGGTAAATTGTTCGGCGATTGTACAAACGACTTTTAACATACGAAGAATATTTGGACCACATGCATGATAAGCACGGCTCAAGTGGCATTCTTCAACTTTATAAAATTTTGTTTTAATTTCAATCGTTTCATCTTCTTTCAACAATCGATTATCATATTCAACCGTACATAGAGAATGGCCATCAGCATCTTGATCCTTTGATAAACGTTGTCTATAAGTAACACCGGCTTCTTTGATTGTGTATTCCGCACCATCGTGGACATTTCGTTGCTGCAATGGTTGATGATAACTAGTAGGCAGTAGATCAAGTGCATTTTCTAATGCTTTCAAATCGTTTGAATATGATGTATAACAACAGATATAGTTGATTGTTGTTGTATAGAATAACAGTGTAGCAATAGAAAATATGGCTTCACTGCGCATGATGAATCTCTTGTTGAAAGTGAAGGCGGTCTACGCTAGGTAATAAAATTATGAAGTGAAATACGTTAAACTCTTAACAGAATTTATATAGTTAATTATCTTGAAAAAAATATTTTCTTTTTCCTTTTTCTTTCACTTGCATACACAATAATAAAATATTCATCATTAAAATAGTACTCGCCTTCTCTCCAATATCATTAAGGGTATCACCCTCTTTTTTCATCTTCTGGCCAAATGCGAAGCTCATGTCGGTTCGACCGCAAATTTATATCAGAGATGGAAAAGCGAAAAAGAAAATTGAATGTATTTTTGCTCAGAATTTTCTCACATGATCTTTAATAGATTTTCTGGACAACCATCCTGCTCGTGCTTCGTAGATCCTGAATCCATTTAGCTTCTAAAATTTCCATAATTTGCTTTCTAGACTTGGTTTTCTTGACTTGAAAGAATTTTCATCAGAGAGTCAAGTAAACTATGGAATCAGCCGGATGATGTGGGTTATGATCATAAGTATAAACGCTTCAAAACATATTTAGAATCATCTTTCCTAGAATCCTGTCGAGTTCCTCCTGTCAAGAATAGAAACCTTGAGATTCATTATACGAGATGTTGACTTAGTTTTCCACAATTAAATGAACCTTTATTCATAAGACAATCTGTGCCCGTGTTGATTGTATTTGTGAAGATGATAAGGAATCAATCAAGCATTTCTTTATGCATTGTACTCGGTATGATGCGCCTCGCTAAGCGATGTTACAGTTTCTGGCGAATATCCTTAAAATAAATATGGTATTAATTGATCATGTTTTGTTCCATCACAGTTTGATAAGAATACTCCGATCGAAGTAAATAATGCTGTCCTCCACTTTATCGGTGTAACTCAGCGGTTTGATCAGCCTGGATGTTTTATTTGCATCTATGTTAAATCCATTTTCACATTATGATAATCCATATCTCTCGCTATCTTTTCTCTCTACACTCTGCACTGTAGACTCTAAAAAACTAGCTAAAAAGCTGGAGAACTCAAGTCATTTTTGACTTTACTTGACCTGGAAAATTTTTGATGATTGATGACTTGACTTGACTTGAAATTTCGAGCAGGAATCTCTTGAATAAAGTAATATTGACATTTTTTGATCTTTTAATGTTTTTCATTTAATTTAAATTTAATGTTTTTCTTTAATGTTTTTCAGTTTCTTCAGAGTTGATTTAGACTCGGATTCAGGGCTGAAAAAACTGAAAAGTTGATTTCGCTATTAAGACCTAGTTTATTATCGACTAATGCAGGATCTGTATAATAAAAACATTTTGTCTGAGCATGATTTTCGTCTTTTTGTTT